AAATTCACACATTAAAGTACTCCTTTCCCAAAGAACTTCTTTTACCGAATTAAACTCCTTGGGATGCAGATTTTCCAACTTCGACTACATTTTTCATTTTACACCTTAATCTAAAATTTCTTCTCTGCCTATCCTATTTCCCCACCACCCAAAACCCTATAACCATCGTTTTCATAGGACAAAATACTGGGACTTCATAAGCTACTTTTGCCGACTCGGCTTAATAATTATTTGCTGTTCAAACGGATGTTGTGTACCGCTATTTATCCTGAGAGCAGGGTGACACAGGGCTCTCTTATTCTATCAATGAGCTAAGAGTGTAATGTCCAAGTAATAAGCGTGCTCAGAGCGCCACAATCATCAATCCAAGTCCTGAATAATATAAGAAGATAGAAAGCATCAGAAGGAGGGTCTTATTGTGCACAGACCCCTGAGTGCCTCATACGTTACTTTCCCGTTGGCATGCCATCTATGTTTAGTCGTGCTGCAGGGACCTATTCGTGTGTGACCCGTGTAGATTAGCCGTTTATCTTGGTCAACCAGTGCACCCGAGACCACCTCTGCTCGTCTTGTTACTGGAGCCTGGTGGGTGGGTATAGAGAGAGTGCCATAGATTTCGCTCATTTATATCTCGCTACAAACTAATTCCCACACAAGTCACTAAGTCCGCGAGACAAGCGGCGGAAGTCGATGTTCTCAAAGGCTAACACGGACGGCATGCACCAGGAAGGGGGATATTGACCGTGTCCATAACCCCTGAAGAGAGAGAGACAGAGTTCAGGAAGTCAAGTTAGGCGAACAAACGTTCTCGATTAATTCATCATCATGCTAATAAAATAATATTTGCTTGCACACCGATCTATCTCTCAGGATGTGCCCATCCTGGATTGATGCTTTTGCGACTCGGTCCAACCGATTGTTTGTTCCGCAAAACTGCTAATAATTGATATGTTACTAACTAATTGTCAGTAACACATCTTCTATATTTTTAGTATTCCAGCATAGACAGGCAAACCGCAGTTTAGCTATTTCGGGCTATTGGCCCTCATCAGCTATGGGGAGCCACCTCTAGTGTAGCCACTGAAATTGCCGCCACGCCCGAGTTTCGAATAAGGGAAGGTAGAGTTAACAAAGTTTGAGCAACCAATCGGTAGTAATAAAGGGGAGAGGGGGAGAGGCTGATGCCACTAAGTTCAAAGGTGAAAGATATGATAAGAATCAAACCGAAAGCGTCGAATCTCAACTCACAACTTGTTTTCGGAAACTGAAAGACTAAGGTTTCCTTAGTGAACAAGAATTCGAAGCACTCAAATCCACAGGCACAGTCTCCCAAGGCTCTATGACTCGCCTAAGATTCACAATCCAGACCTGCCAATACTGCCAATAATGGATATGTACAATTCACCGATTGCAAGGTGGTTGACAGAAAATCTGAAACCGATTCGGCACCAAATAGCACCGCGCAGCCCACGAGACATTTTTGAATTCCTCGAATCCATAACAAACACAAATCTCAATGGGAAAAATATATTATCCTTAGATGTCGTGTCTCTGTTCACTAACATTCCCCTCACAGAAACCATAGAATTTTTGTGTAATGAGATTGTCAAACAGGATTTTCCAATCGGCATGCCGGTCGGAGGCCTAAAGGAATTGCTCTTCCGCTGCATTTTAAATTTGCAGTGCAGTTTTAGTGGCCAATTTACCACCAAATCGATGGCTTAGCGATGAGATCACCGCTTGGACCTCTATTAGCTGATGTCTTCATGGGCTAACTGGAGAGCAACCAACTCTCCCCTATTATAAAGGATCTTCCTTCTTATGATCGATAGGTGGAAGACATTTTTATAAAAGTAGATGGATGACTTCAGTTGGACACTTTCTTAGATACAGTGAATCAATTGCCCCTGCGTTAACCCTTACTTTAGAAGAAGAGGAAAGACAGTGCCTCCCCTTTCTGGACGTCCTTCTTAATAGAAAGTCTGATGGAACAATAAGTAGAAGTGTATTTGGCAAGAAAACATGAACAGGGCAATCTACAAATTTATACAGTCTGGTCCCACTAAGTCAGAAGCGAAGCCCAGTCTGCTGCCTCACTAACCGGGCTAGGGGAATATGTTCTCTAGAAACTGGATAACGAACTCGCCTTCACTAAAAATGCCCTGCCAAAAAATGGCTTTCCCGAAAATGTTAT